TTGTACATCATCAACAATGCCATCAACTTCTCGTCTCTGACAAATCACTTCCATGCAGACCGAAAAGCGTATAAATAGACATGCCTAAACACGAAAACCCGAGCCCTTAAAAAAAGTTGCAAAAGCCACAGATCAACAACAGCATACGAAAACCGCAGAGGAATTCAATTGCAGGTTCATATTCCATTTAAACAACGTTGAGAACAAGGTGAAGTCCAGATCGTCCGCCCGACAATCACGCGTGCAACAAATCAGGGAAAAGCCCTGTTTCGGTATCCATCAGAAATCTGCCTCGCATAAACCATCAGCCTGGCTTCAGCCATCCGCAGTAAGCACCCAATACAAGATGCATGAATTTCCACACATCAATTTGTGGAGAAAGAACAACCAGACGTCTTCTTTGCTTCTTCTTTTTCTCCATGCTATAACGCTTGTCGCACAGGAATAGAAAGTCTAGACGGTCAAGTCCGGCTTGTGGAAGACTTGCGGTCTGACAAGCATTCCGCCTTGTACTTGAGGCCTGACTCTCCTTTCGGCGCCAATCGAAACTCGGGAGAGCGATTGATGCATTACAAAACCTGCTGTCAAGCGATCACTGATAGATGCCCAAGAATTCACACATTTGCTAGGCCTTGTCATGAGATTCTAGGAACAACGTTGAAAGACAGAGACCCAGGGCCTGGTCTAATTTGATATCGGCTGGCGAGAATGAACCGAAACAGAACGTCAATCGGAAAGGGACGTAGTTCTTTTGTAATTAAAACACAGAGATGGACCAGTTGCCCTAATGTCAATGATCAAATTATGAACTTCTCTGACTTATAGTGTCTTTTATCACACGGCTCTCTTGGTTTCATCTCTCCACTTCATACTTCTGTCAACCAATACTTTTACTGCTACTATTTTTATGAATCGAATGAAGCATACGAACACATCTGAGTTTTAAAATCCAAGTTCACGAACAAGCGACCTTCCAATTCCTAACTCCACAATACCGAACCGAAAACCGCACCACCAAGTCATGGCACTCACCGAGCTGGCCTTCTCGTCTCGGAGAGGCATATGGAGGTCAACAAGGACTCGAAGCCGTCCAGTACTTGTGTCACCTGACAGCTACACCACAATGAAATCGATCGAGTCATTACTACAGCATCCAAAATCAGACACGAAGAAAGCTACCACGACCATCATAACAACAACAACAACAACAACAACAACGACAGCCACAACAGAGGAAGAAGCAAAGGGCTGTCCATCATCACAAACCACAGAACAAACCTCCTTCCCCGATCCACCAGAGTACGAAATCATAGCGCTTGAAAGAGATCTTGAGCAGGAAGAAGAAGACCTTCCATCTTACTCCCTCGAAGACGACGTCGATGACACCACATCCGACTGCCGCAGTCGCGAGATCCACACTCCTCCAGCATACAACACCCTTCGCATCCACACAATCCACACAAATACATCCGAAGATTCTCTCCGCGAGCTTAACACCGACTGGGATTTTAGAATTCCTTTCACCACATCCCCACTGGACAAGTCTCGACCGAAACTCAAGCGTTGTCGGGATGCGCTCAAGCGAACCATCACTTCCACCAGACGCATCATCTCAAATAGTCACTCTAGTCCCTCCAAAGACGATGGTTCCTCTTCACTTTGGGACACAGATTCCGAGACAGAATCTCTGTTGGCTTTTCTCAGAGAAGATCTCGAAGCTGCGCTGTCGACGCCCATTGTTGATGAGAAAGTTGAACATGGCAATAGCACCGGCGCCACCTCCACCAACAACGATCAAAGCCCAAGGTTCAAGATGAAGCTTCGAGAGTTGCGTAACAAATTCACTCCCAAGGACACTGCTAGTGCCAATGATGTGACCACCAGAAGTGGTCAATCGCAACGACGGCGCGTGCGAGTCAAGAGGTGGGTGAGTGAGACGTGGAAGAAAACCGTGGAGTTTGGAAATCGCCATCCACTTATTTGCATTGTTGCCGTGCTTGGGCTTTTCATCATGTTGTGTCTTGTTATATGAATTTAGCCAATAAATTGTTCGCGCAAAGTGGTTCCTCATTTTTGTGATGAGTAAAATAAGGGATGCATGCTCGACGAATGTGGTTAAAGGTCTCAATGATGGCGCAAAAAGCAAGTCTGAACTCGGAGATTTTGAGGTTATGACGACTCTTTTTTTCCAATTACAATAATCTAAGATCTACGGCTCTCAATGATTTTTTGTTTTTTTATGAAGGCTGATTACGCGTAAACGTGGAAATAGCTTCTTATACGGTGACAGTACATAAAAACTGTACCTCTTCCAAGAAGAAAACCCGAACTGCGAACAACAAATATATATATCTCGCGGCCGAACATCCAGACCCGGATACTTGACTTGCTCGCTTGCAATTCTTTCCACGATTGATACTTGAGGTTGTAATGACCATATTCAAGATGAAGGTTCATATGGCTAGAGTCATTCGTCAGACTAAACTAATCCAAAACGTGACGATCCTGTACTATATAAGGATTAGCCAAACTCTTGTATCGCCATTGTTCTCATTCGATGTACACAGATGCTCAATGAGTTTTGAATCGAGCACTTGTACAGTCCCAATGCCCATCATTTAGCCAGTGCGTCTCAGTGTAAAGGATCTTACTACACATCAGTTGGTGCAAGGGCTTCAATGCGCGTCCTTTACAACCAGCTCAATATAATGCATCGGTGTTCCAGAAATGACTTTTGTCTGAACCTGCACTTGCACTTCTTGAGCATTGAGCACTGCAGTAGTAGAATGGCGGCGGGGAACAATCACAAGTCGATCCTCTTCCTCCAGTGCAGCCCCTTGAGTCTTTTTGTGGTCTCCATGAAATAGTTGCTGATATGCTTCTTCTCCAGATGTTTCCACCAAATGTTGTCCTTCTGTTACCGGCAGCAGCCTGCACCAGGGTCGTGAGATCGTGGCGGAAACGGAAATACCGAAAAACAACAAAACTTCGCCGCCTCCCCCAGTAGCGAGACGAACTGCTGCCAGTTTTTGCGATATCTTGTTCAATCTGAGTGGCTGGAAAATATGAGTCGTCTCATCCCAAGAACCCGGTGGCTGCACCTCGCGAACAGTGACAAAGCGCTGCGATATCCTCAGCCAAAAGCCAGCTGGGAGTTTCTGTACAGAATGCTGGGCTACATATATCCATTGGGGTTGCCAGTCTCTGTACGGCAATTCTGTAAGGTCATTCATAAAACACTCATCAGCCATTGCCGCACTGGCTCGCCTGTTTTCATAACCAAGTGATGCTTACGATGGTGTTCTGACTTACTGGTGTTCATATCGTAAAGCACGCTCTGCTTCTCCATGGGGTCGAATCCTTCCATCAACACTCGGCCACTGGAATCGCAGCGTGCGATGTGTAGTAAAGTTGGCGTCAATATGCGACTATAATTGTCACCGGTCTCCTTTCTTAAACGTATGCCAGCGAATACGCCCGGCGCCGTACCTATCTGACAGTCCAAGACGGCCAGATAGCCCTCACCACACTGATCAGTCTCGTCTCGGCAGATGAGGAGATAGACACGTACGCCATGACCCGTGCAAACAGGGGGTGGGCGCGCTGGCCTGTGCCAGGGAAATCGGGCTATGGCAGTAGACATTTCAAACACACGTGGCGATTGAGCGAGCATTCCTTCTCCTCTGGATATCCGACTTTCTGCCCGTGATGTAGTTCTGGTTCGGCTTGAGCTTTTTTTTGGAGCCACGAATGGGTTCACCGAATGCTGAAACCCAGAGTCATACGTCCAGGCGAAGACAGACTGGTCAGCGTTCGTGGAGCGAAGAATCTCCTCTTGTAAGCGCACAAATGCCTTGACGCCCTCACCGTACAGTAACGTCAGGTTGATATCAAAGATACCTAGCATACAGTACGCCATGTCTTCCATCCGGGTCGTCTCGCGCTTTGCGAGCCATGCCAGCCGTCTGGCGATGCTGATGCGAGTCAAATCTCCGCCCTCAAGCGCATACGAGTCGATGTTAGTGATTCTGGATATCCCGGCGAGATGGTCATGTTTGGATCCGAGAGGTCTCCAGTCTGCCGAGTAAAACTGGACGTTGTAGGGGGCGATCAGCTCTTGTAAAGTCCAGCCACGCGTGTACCACCGCGGCACTTCGTCAGTACGCCATTGCTGATCGTCGTGGTCATGCTTGGAGAGAGGCTGTGTGCCAGAGACGTCACCAAGGTAGGCGTAGCAGACGGCCGAATCGCGATAGTAGCCAAACATGGAGTTTATGGCCTCAGACAGCTCAGCCGAGCTCGTCTTGTCGATGCAGCACGTGTCGATCCAGATCCAGTTGTAGCCCTCGCTTTTCGCCACTTGGCAGCTCCGGTATACCTTGTCATAGCCTGCCTTCAGCATTGCTTTAGCCTTCGCCTCTTGCTGCATGTCCTGGAACGTGAGCTCGTCCGGGCCCCAGGTATGCGATAAGATGGCATACTCGGGAGGTCCGGGCAATCGCGTGTCTGCTGGATCGTGCACATGAAATGATGAGCCGCTGATATATTCTCCAAACTGCTCAATCTCGAAGCTCGTCGTGTTCAGGAGACGCATTGTAACAAGCAAGAGACGGTAGGCACAAACAGGGGAAAGATCTCAACGATAGACTGACGGCTCAACGAGTCCATCTCCTTCAGAGGAGACAACATACCAGTGGTGCCATATCAGACTGCTACCTGCAGCTACCATATCAGATTGCTGCTTGCAGCTCCATTGCTCCGTACTGTGCATGCCCCGCTCTCTGAAAGAACTGATCAATTATACTTTCCCAACATCTCAAGCACATAAGCGCGACGCATCACGGCTTTACCAGGCAACCAAGAGAAGACCAGGAACACGATCACGACCTCAAAAAATAAATGTTCAGAAAGAACGAAATGGAACGGACCAAACGCATCCATCACCATTGACAAGACAAGCAAAAATGATCACCCTAGAGCTCGACGTATTTCACTTTACGTGCGTCGACCGGGACTCGAACCCGGAGCTAGAGAAGTTCCACGGTTGGGAATCTCTAAGGTTACCCTTACCCCATCGACGCTTAGACAGGATTGGTTTTTCCATTGTTGCAGTTTCGCACATTGTAAACCCTTATATACATACTCTCGCCAGAGGCGGCGTGCTGCCTCCTTTTGATCTCAATTCACAACAGGCAGCGTATCGCTGTTGAGCCACTTGATGCTTGGTGCAGCTCATGAAAAATGAGGCCCTCAATTGAGAATGATAGGCATTTTCCTGGAACAGCCTTCGAATTTCTTTCTCCTTCGGGTCTCAGTGGACATTGTATATGTATCACGAGTCTGCAACTCGGCGAAAGTATCGTCCAGACTCAGAGAATTGTCTCGTCGTGGTGCTTCTTCTCGGGAAATGAAAATCGATCAAGGTGTTGAATGCGAACTGACCCACCCGTTACCGCAAATCTCGTGGCCACATGCTGACATGCAGATTACCATGGAAAGACCGCCCTCGCCGACTTCAGATACATGCATTAAATGAATTGAATGACCAGATCGAGGAAAAGGGTTGCAGATGATGAATGGAAGGTGAAATGTAAGAAGAAAGGAACTGATTGAGAAGAGACCTCCTTAACAGACGGAAAACAAGAAAAGAGAACAAAAAGACCAAAGCCAAAAAAAAAAAAAGAGAATTTCTCCTTATCCACAGCGGTCAGGTAAAAATTCATTGATAAGGCACCATCCCGGGGAATATGACTTTTTTCCTTCCTGGCCCACGCAAGCTGTGAACTGGTTGCATGTGTCGGGTCTGGTATTGCGCTTGTGTACCGATGTCGATAACATGGGTATTATATCAAAAGTAAAGACTGAACATGTCCGTATGGTTGAGATGCTATCTTCCCTAAAAACAAATTGTGCAAATACGAAACATGCTAGCCTAGCGAAAGTAGGATGACCGATTCCCGATCACGAGTCAAGAACAACTAGCCGCAATATCAAAATAGTCCATATAATTTACCTATTCCAATAGCATGTCAAGTCAGCTCAAACAACTTGATTCAGTTCGGTTGTGTAGTGTAATGGTTATCACATCGGATTCTGATTCAAACATCAATTCTTCCGGTAATCTGAGTTCGATTCTCAGCACGACCTTTTGCTTTTGACGGTTTCTTCATGGTGCTTCAATGGTAAAATGTGTTTTCTTTGCCTTTTACTCTTTCTTTCCTTCTCTTGCTTTTTTCCTGCGTCGAATTCGTTCTTGGCTTTCGCTGTAATACCTATTTTTGCAACTACACCATCAGGTCTAGTACTCAAGTCTCTATCTGGTCAGCGTTCCACGAGCCCTGGGGACAAAGAGCAGCAATGCCAGCCAGTCATAATTTTAGCAGTCTCATTACTCATCTCACATAGAGGGCAGATGATAATGCTTGCAGCAATCGTTGAGTCGTCCTCTTGTATGATTTCTCAAGGCTTCCTTTAATGCTTTAATTGTCAACATTCAAGTTTTCGAAAGACACAAAAGTAGTATTAGGTATTTGAACTGCGAAAAGATCGCACGGCCGCGGATGTGAGTGTTATAAACGTCTAACAAGTGACAAGCAGGCCAAATTGCGCATTCGCTCATCATTCATCGATGAATGCTATTTTCTTTCTCAACCAGGTTTATGCGTATGTGGCCCCGGATGCAGCCGCTCTGTCGAGCTTGGATATGATGGTTTTTGCTCAGATGGTGTCGGTCAGTCCGACCTTGAGACTCGCTTCAGGGTTACTGCTAAGGACGCGATTATCAGATGCTTGCCCGCATTTAAAAGCACAAAAGACTGCTGATACCAGGCGTAAGCCTGATGTGTTTGCAGGGCACGTGCCCACACAAAGACCATTAACGCTCAATCCTCATCTGCAACCTTGTCCTTGACCAATTCCGCAGCCATGTTGATCACCTTTTCGGGTGGTCGCTGCTCGCCGGTTGCTCCCACAGCACCCTCAGCAGGTGTCATCATTCCAGGGATGGGACTCAGCTGACCGCTGGGAGGAATCGAAAGCACAGGTATGCGGATGTCCTCTGGTGAGCCCGGAATCATCTGGGGGTCGAGACCAGGGATATGGATGCGCTTCGCCTCATTCTGGTACGCAGCGGGAATGATTTCGATGATTTCATCGCGTGGGAACTTGAGCTTGGGAATATCCATGGTGCTGCAGTGCATGAGGTACGAGTACAAGACCCGCAAGACCGATTCGTGTGCAATGATTAACAGGTCGTTCTGTTCACGCTCGAGTTCGAGAATGATAGGCTCCAGTCGGACGGCAAGATCATGGTAGGACTAAGAAGAAAGACGAGGGTTAGAGCGCATATCCAATAATCTTAGCATCACGCACTTCCACATACCTCGGCACGAGGGTATCGGTGGTGATACGGATCCAGCTCATGTTTCTCAACCTCATCCGGATACAAGGCGCGGATGGCTCTCTCTGACAGCTTCTCGCAAACACCTGGATTGAGAGCACTCATTTGAGAACGCTGTCGGACCTTGTAGCCCTGCTCCTGCAGAGGTATGGCGGTCTGCACGGTTCTGAGGCGAGTGGAAGTCCACACAGTGAGGGGTCGCAGCGGGATGTCAGGGCCCCCAGCTTCAATAGCAGACCGTCTCTCCTGCTCGCGATGCTTCAGGAGGGTCTCTGTCATCTTGATGGAATAGGCCTTGCCCGCCTCGGAGAGATCTGCATCACTACGGTACGACTCTTCCTCGGCGCTGCCGGCCCTTACGAAGAAGGTGGTTCTGGATTTGATGTGCAAATTGGTGAGGTAGAAGACGATACGATGAGACAGGTACTGATGTAATAACAGTGTCAGTAGCCTCCAAATACAAGAACCAAGGGAGTTCCACGGTGATGAAGAATGCTTACATTGAAGCTAAGATTGTTGTAGAAGAAGGCTCGACCAGCGTTGATCATCTTAACGTAGTTCAGCTCATCCTCATTCATCGTTTCGAATACTGGTATTTTCATCTCAATGCGGCGAAGATAGAGCTTGGCAGCTTCATCCGGATCCATACCGTGGAACTAGATATGAACAAGTCAGCAAGGAGTGGTCGGACATGGTTGGCCCATTTTCAGCTTACATCTGGAGAAGAAATTTTGACATTTCTGGCATTCTCTCTGAGAATCTTGTCGTCGTCAACAAAGGACTCGAGGAAAAGAGTCTGGAAGAATCGAGTTAGTCATAAGCACGAGCGAATATTGCTGGATAATGCTGACCTGGACGTCGTGCTTTGCGAACTCTTTGGCCAGTGCTCGGCGGCCGGCAGCGGTTGGGTTGACGGCATCGTATATGGCAACCTGGCCGTTTTCGTGGTTCAGCCAGGCGTATATATCCTCGCGACACTTTTTGAGGATCTTCTGCCGAAGCATCACAGACGCTGGAGAGGCATTTGGGAAGAAGTAGTCCTCGGGAATGGTCTCGCCGGGTCCGACTGTGGCCCGTCGGTAGTCTCCCAGATGAAAGATGCGTGTCTTTACACCCAGCCTGGCTTGGGGATTAGCACGGTCAAATATACGCAGTCTCGCCAGGTAAAAGAGACTTACCAGGCTAGGTAGCGAGCCATTGAGACGCAAATATGCCTAGAAACTCCGTCAGTCTCAAGCCTCCAGAACGAAGGGAGTAGTTCCCAACTCACGTCTTTCCACGTGCGGGCAGTCCAACCATGACAATCGCGATTCTACCTGAATGGAACAGACGGCCAGACATGGTGCTGTAGAGCTGAGCCGGAGCCAAGTTCTGGTCGTCAGATACATCGTGAATGGCGTCAATGAATGTTGAACTCTTGCGACGATAACGAGGCGCGTTGGCCGCGATCTCGGCGGTGCTAATGGCCGTGTTAGCATCCTGCGACTCCAGATCATCACCGATCTCCGGACGGAGGGTGAAGTCTCGTTTTCCTGCCATGACATGAACACAAACGGTTCATTGCATAAATTCGGGCTCAACTTCGACAGCAGCGACTGCGAAGCGATCGTGAGGGGAACGGTCTGGATGGTTTGATGTGGCAAAGCAGGAGGAGGATAAGGATTTGAGGGCGCAGCGATTACTCACAGAAGGGTATCCATGTTTGTCAATGTGACGCCGACGGGCTATGATATGCCTCGACGATGATAACACTGATGTTGCAAATCACAGTGTGATGAGCCTTCACCAGCAGTGCTTTGATACTTGAGTGGAGTTCTGTTTGAAGAGATGCTTGTGTTTGACTGCGGCAGTGGCTCGATCCAGATACTCTGCTCCGAGGCTTGGAGATTGAAGGAAGCACCAAGGTAGCAGAGAGGAGGTGAGATGCTTTAGGAGTGTCGCTTGGAAGTTATAGCTGATGGTCGAGGTGTAAGGTTATCGTCGAGTACCCGGAAGGTGGGAAAGACCGAGTTTCACGGGGGATCTCCGAGTTTAGTTTGAGCTGTCCTGAGCCAGCCAGCCAGCCACTCTGGTTGCCTATGTTCCTACAGCTGTGATTCAGTCCTTTGGCCCACACGGAGTTGCAAATCACCAATGCTCAAGAATAAGAATTACTTGAGCAATGACAGTGCAAAGGCAGAGCAGGAGGTTGCTGCGGTCGGCAAGATGCGGGTTCCAAATCGGGAGTGGTAGTTCAGTTCGGAGCTGTACGATGTACAGTGTCCCGGTTCTTGCATCTTGGGCCTGGGGTTCTGAGCCCGGGCTGTGCCTTCCCTAAGCACATGGCCACAAGGCACTGGACTCGGGAGGGGGTGGCGCTAACAAGCGGGGCGGCCACGCTCTCAGGACAAAGGTACCAAGAGTGACATGGCAGCTTCTTGCAAGAACACAGCACACCTACTGAGAATGCAGTGAAACATCACTAAATGTGCTATTATACGGAAATATTCGTCATGCAAAGATATATAGCAGGTCAAATATGACTGCAATAGCAGGATGTCAATTGGACAGCGCCAATATCAAATTCATGAATGCAGATTCGGCCGCTTAGGTAAACCCCCAAGGGTATGTGTACACGCAGCCAAACGGGTGGATCCCCACCGACTCGGAAAAGTACTGCGTCATACCAATCGTGCAGGCCGGCTACTTGAGAAGCACAGACCAAGCTGACTACACCTTGACCCCCCCTGCTGCCCTGTCGTCAGAGACCAGCCGAGAAAGCTGCCCTCAAAATTTTGGTCTTGGGCCCATGACAGCGACTGTTGAGATCCAAAACCACTTCAGCCTCAACACCGCCCATACTCACCCCACCCCCACACCCAACCCACCACAAAGGCCAGCCCGTTTGTCTGGACTCTTCCTCTGCTGGACCGAACCTCGACCAGCGTTTCTCGAATCTCGCTCACGACCGTTCCTCCCTCGGCTTGCCTACTCCAAGGCCTGCAGTCGTCTGATTCTTTACGCGACTCTCGTCTCTTTGTGACGTCGTCGCACTCGAACTTCCTGCAGCGCTGACCTCGCTCCCCTCGTCCTCCTGCACATAAAGTACCGCTGTCACGACCATGGCCTCCGCATCCAGCCACCCTCTGGCCTTTGTGGGCAACAATCCCATAGGAAAAGCCATCTCGGACGCTGCCGCCTCGTTCCAGGAACGCCGCGCAAAGCTGGGCCTGTCTAACCCTGGCACCGTCGAAGGCTTGGCCAAGGAAGTCCAGCGCGATGTTTTGCTCAATAACTACATGTTCACTGGCCTGCGCGCCGATCTGACAAAGGCCTTCAGCTTGAGCCCTCTGTTCCAGGTCTCGCATGCCTTTGCGCTGGGCGAGCGCTCCAACCCTTACACCTTTGCCGCCCTCTATGGTACCAACAAGGTGCGTTTGGCTCGCGCGTTGGAAAGGAAGCAAAACACAACGAAGCAGATCTTCAGTGTGGGATGGACAAAAAGAAGCCTAGCTGACGATCAATCTAATATGACAGGTCTTTTTGCAAGGCAACATCGACAACGATGGACAACTTTCCACTCGCGCCAACTGGCGATGGTCGCCCTCGCTCGTCTCCAAGACGCAGTTTCAGGTCGGCACCGGCGGCCAGGACATGGCACAACTCGAGTCCGAATACACCGGCAACGACTTCACTCTCAACGTCAAGGCCCTTAACCCATCCTATCTCGAGGGCGGTTTGACCGGTATTCTTGTTGGACAGTACATGC